TTACATCTACTAACCCGTAACAGGTCATTTTGGAAATATTGTTAAGTGAAAAAGTCAAAATGGGATTATGGGGTTTTGACTAGGTTATTTTTAAAAGTACCCCTACATTGTGGCAAATTCATCCCTAACTTATATCTCCTTGGTAGAATAGTCCCCAACCTATATATCTTGCTCCACAGTTGATCGCTTATGTCCGTTTCCCTTGAAGGGCCTGCTTGGGATTATTATTATTATTATTATTATTATTATAATTATTATTATTATACCCATTTTGGATGGCATTGATTATGAGTGGTTGAAAAAATTAGTGTTTTTGCTAGTATTTTTTAAACATTGGTTTTTGATTGTATTAAACCATCAAAATCGGGGTAATATAATTTTGGTCATTTCTCTCACCCTATCAAATTGGTGGATTTTGACTATTTTTCAAATTCTCTTTTACCCTTTATAAAATAATTATTTTCAATCACCATATATTTTTAAAACTAATTTGTAAATAAAATAAATTAACTAAGAAAATATTTATGAACAGATAAACTTTACTTTATAAGAAAATTTACTTACAAGATAAATATTCACTTTTGTGTAAAAGTTTATTTATAAGGTAAAAATACTAATAATCACTTATAAATATAAAAATATTACTTATAAGTAAAAATTATTTAAAAGTTCAATGTAAAATATACTTATAACTAAAAAATACTAACTCTAAATTTTAATTATGGGTAAATACTTAATTTTCTAGTTTAAATATTAACTTTCTTGTAGAAAATTACTTATAGGGATAAAATATCATTTATGAATAAAAAAATTTCATATAAGAAATTAAAAATTACAAATTTCACTAAGGGGTAAATGTAATTATATTCTTTAAAAAACTTCGAATAATAAACCCCCAAATATGAATTGGATTATTTTATAAACCAATACAGCAATACTTAAAATCATTCAAAATCGATCCGCTTATAAATGCTCAAAATTGATAATTAAAAAAACTTATAATTGGTATCTCAAAACTTCCAAGTAGGCCCTTAAAAGGGAAATAACTTGTTTGAGATTGAAACTTTGAAGAAATCTGCAAGGTCCCAAAATAACAGATACTAAAGGATCGAAGATCACAAGGAACAATATAAGTGCATAATCATAAAAATAACAAAGAACACGCGATTTTTCATCCCGCAGGGTCCGGATGTTCAATCACAAAAATGTAATCACCCGTTGAGCATCCACAAAGTATATAGCTCTAGATCCACTAAATATCAACCAAGAAATCTTATCTCAACAATACAGACCAAAGCCAACCCTTAATCTATACACTATTATACAAATTTCACTAAGAATGGATTGACAAGAACACACAAACGATTACAGTGACCAAAACCAGAGTAAACCCTAATCTACAATCGGAGAAAAAATGGAGCCCAGAGAGACGAAGAGAGAATGATCTCGAATGCCCAATGCACCAAGGGCCAAGTCAACAAGTAATATGAACAGTTGCAATCCAAGGGCAGAGAGTCAGCCACGTGTAAGGCTGATAATAATCATCAATGAGGCCAGAACCCGGAATTACTTAAATCCAGAAGCAGCAAACAATAGCACAGCCCAATAGTATAGTGAGGCAGCCCAATATAACAATCTCCACCTTGAACTATACTATGACTACTTTAATGGATCTAGAATAGGCTATACTTACTTTGCTTCATATGCTCCAAAAACCTGTAAAAAGAAAAACACAAAATTAGTTCAGTGTTATTTAAATAATATTGCTTGAAGTTCTAATTATCACATCAAGTGATATTCAAAATGTTCAAGCAATTTCTAAATTTATTTAGAGGTAATACCTTTGTCCCCACATCTGAAGGATTGTATTCTGTTGGAATTTTAACCAAACTGATCAAACCCTTTTCACCCATATTTCTTACAAAATGAAATTTAATAACTATGTGTTTCGTTCTATCATGATAAACAGAATTTTTATTAAGATGAATGGCACTTTGGTTATTAGTATATATATCAATAGAATCATTAGCAAAACCAATTTCATTTAA